ATCTGTAAATTAATGAAGAAAGAAGAACTACTGTTTCCAGCTTTTGACCACTGAAGATTATATGTTAAACTGAGGCTCAATTGATTCCATAAAAGAAATATCGACGTGAGATTGACTAAATGCGGTATGTCATAAATTTAGTGCAAATATATTCTGAACAAGTTACTGCTCTAATAGACACAACTTCATTTACTTCTATGGTTTCCAAACCGATCTCTGGTTGTCACCAGAATTTCCCATCTTTTCAATGGTTCCACGAAACGTATAAATCAAATTTACGTATATCGCTGAATTCCTCTAGGGTGTTCCTTCGGTGAACCCGAAGTGAAAATCGGGTGGTCATCCAACACTCACCAATGAAACGATATATATATACACATACATCATAAATGGTCGGGTTTATTATGTTCGTAGGAGAACTGGTGTGTACGTCTCCTGTTTCGGTTTCTGACACCAGTTTCTTCTGTGCATGAGACATTTTTTTTCAGATCGTCCGATAACTACGAGAATGCTGCTAAATTTTTTTTATAAAACTGGATTGGGTATGAGTGAGGATAGAAATTGAAACAGTCAAAGAATCTCTTAAAGGAAACGAGGTCACTGCAAAAACCAAACGAAACTGTGAGTGAGCTGAAAATGAATAAAGCAAATACCAGAAAGGGAAAAACGAGAATAGTTAACTGCGGTAGGTAAGCATATCACAAAGCTGACGATAACTGAACTAGAATCTGTATATTTTGAGCAGATAATGTTGTGAATAGTTTAGATTTTGTTGGACAATGAGAATTGAAGTTGACTCAATCGTGTGAAAATCTGCGATACCTTAGTCCTCATGACTTTGCACCTGGACACTGCTTCCAACATTCCAATCTTCCCTCTGTTGTTTTATGTCGATGGAAATCCTCACAAAATTGCGTGGTCACTGATCGCTAAAACCGAAGCTGAAGAAGCATGATTCACGATTGAATAACAACGGGTATTTTCGAGTTAAGTCTTACCAAAGTCAATAATCCACCTGGATGCAGAGACTCCGGGAACAATACCAAACTTGTCACCGAATCTTTGTGTTCCATTAGTGCGTGGTGACATTTAATCCCAAAGACGTGGCGACTAACCGTCTTGATGACCTGAAAAATAAAAGTGAACGGGTGATTTTAAATCTTTATTTTAAATAATTTTTATAATGATATACCAGTGTGTTTAACTCTTAGCATCATATTGCATATTTAAAAAAATATGTTTTGGCTCTGATTGAAATGAACCACATTTAGAGCATAAGATTTTGCTCGCGTTCTATGGCTGGTTACAACTATCTACTGGTTTTTTTGAACCCATTATTGAATAATGTCCACTCCTAATCCGATCATCGAGATTACTCGTGATACGGTGCGTGTGTGAGAGAGAGAGAGGTGGGCCGGAGAGGCTTTAGCGCTTGCACAAATTGTTTTTAGACACACTAAGGGGGTTCTGCTTACGGATGTCCAACGCTGCTGTGGCCAGCGTCCGACAATGAGCCTGCTCTTCTTCTGATGGGTCCTCACTGCAGATCTTTCTTGTCCCGTCCGTTAAGCAACAAACCAGCCATATATATATATATATATATATATATATATATCGCGTACATGGAAAATGGAAAACGGTCTGATCACGTATCCTAAGACCGAGTGCGTAGCATGCCTGTATTTATCCTGTGAGGTCGCGGGTTCGATCTCCAGGTGGGTCGATGGATTCGCAATGCTGATGTGACCCAATCAGGTCGAAACAACTGTACGGTGCTTCGTAGCTTTTCAGTTAACGCCTTATTTGCTTTGTACACTACGAATTCCCTCTTTGAAATTTAATAAAATCCTCCAGTGATCTCATGAAATCGTTTCTAGTTATCTATGATTTTATTTTATTTTTCCGAGACCATTTTATTCCCAAGTATTGATATGTACTGAGATGAATTGGCATGAACACGAATCTCCGAAAACGATCTTTTTCGCCACTCTGTTGTTCTGTTTAAAATGTGCTCTATGGCACTATTTCGACAATTTCTCGATTCTGGATACTCTTCGAAGACTGAAGTATCTCGTGTGACTTGGACGATGAATAGTTCGGAAACAATACTGCACTTTTCTCTCCTATTAGCACCTTTTTATCCTCCGCTGTATGAAGCGAAAGATAACTTCTTCATCTCATTTTGGAAACACCGAAAAATTGACATCAGTGCTTCTGTTCTATACATCAATCAGTCATATTATTACATGTTGCTGGTCACACTCATGACAATTAGGTTTCAATAAAACATAAAATCCTTACTTCGTCCTCGGCCGGGGTGGTCGCATCTTCCGTTTTCTCTCCGGTCACATTTTCCGGGGATGCTATGTCCAAATGTAAATCGCTTTGTGTTTGACTTCCGTTGATTATAACTTGGTCTCCTCTCAGTCGATCCATGATAGCTTTAAGTTTCGGTGAGTTCAGCAGATAGTTGATATCTGTCAAACAATATTCATCCAGTTTGTGCTCATCCAATGAATCCCTGGTCAGTTGACTGGTGATCGGAGTAGTTGGATTACTTGTGCTTTGCATAAATTGTTTTGTCGCTTTGAAATCATAGCCAAGCACATCTATCATAGATCGGAACACGGCGAGATCAGAGATCATTTTACAGGGCCTGATCAGACTAAAACAACTTCATTATTCACATAATTTCATTTGGCTAACCAAAGAAAAACTGTCTTGTACA